TTTCCTTCTTAAAATTAAGGTGCGTGTTATACACCTGTGCATGTTATACGCTGATAAATTCGGTATATAAAGCAGACCTCTTCTGGGTCTGAAGAATCAAGAAATGTTTTGCCTAGCATTCATGAAAAACACAGAGATAGGTACAATAATTTCATCTTTTCTATCCATCTAAATACCCAATGGTCTGGCATATGGAGAATAAAAAAGCAATACCTTCAAGAAGTTTCAATCTGGTCTCCAAAAGGAGGCAATATAATTATTGTTCTAAAAGCCTTAGAGTAATTCATACCTTGCCTTAGTGACAAATTCATGAAAGCCTTCCTCATCTACCCCCTCTTCTTCCTCTTCCTCCTGTTTCTTCATTATCTTTTTCTGAGACATTTGATCTGTTTCCTAAAAATCAGCAACAACAGAGTAATCTCCCAAACCAGCCTTTCTATGAATACATTATGTAATAATAGGATGCTTCCAGGAGTACTTGGGAAAGAGGGTACTCAGTGCAAACATCCTTAAAACATGAATAGCTACTCTACTGATATTCATTGCAAAGCCCACACAACAGCATCAGCAAGGTGCCTACAAGCAGCATGCCCACATTTCTAGTTTTTAATCTACATGAATTTCAAAGAATATAAACATTCCATTATATCATCTCAACTTCTCTCCTGTGCACTAAAAATATCAAGCTACTACTTATTGGATCTAGATGATAAAAATTGTTCAAAGGCAACTGAAAAAGATTTAGCCCATAGAACAAAAATACATTTTCTATTGAAGTTTTCTTTACTAACAGAATAAAAAACTTCAGTCATGAAATGAGGTTGGTTATCTTGTTCAACACAAGAAGCCTTTAGACAAAATTTCCACATTTAAAATATACATATAGTTATCACAATTAAATTAAGTTAGCGCTATAGAATAAAAACTGTGGTTCAAGAGTCAGGTAATTTAAAGGTTTATTTCTATACCATTTTTTTGCTTAAAAACATAGTGGTAACAAGCCAAATTATTGGCCAGTATACATCTTTCTAAAAAGTATCAAAAGTAACCAGCTTCTTCTGCAGGACTCAAACGTCATATGTTAGTTCCCAGCATGAATGAAGCACAACTTCAGGTAGATACAGAACTTGCCACGGGTGTGTTTAAATCTAGTTTTTTCCAGTCAGAGGAGCAAAATACTGTTCCTCTGTGAAACTTATCAGGGCTCTGCATGTATTTTGCATGTACTTCTTATTTTGCATCCACAAGCTAACAGAAATTAAGCAGATAACTTTGTGGATAAAGATGTTTTTCTAGTTCTGTTAATTATGGAGGTTATAAAGTGATAAAAAAATAATTACTGAATAAGTGGTATCTGTAACAAATTACTATGAAACATTAACAATGGCACAATGAAACATGTCAATGACACTGCAATTGCATACTTCTGTTGTGACGTCAGACACAAGTGCATTAAGTTATTGCATTTCTGTGATGTCATCACTTATGTTATTTGTTCCCCTTACTCTTCCATCCTCCCGAGACACCACTGTACTGAGGAACATATTAGTGATGTCAGTGAAACCCAGTACTGAATTTATTATGCATCTCAAGAATTTTGAGCACTGAGGTAATAAGTATTATTCTTGCAAAACATTAAGTCAGTCATTATATCTTCTACTTTCACCTATTATTAAACAACCCTGGCCATTCAAATTAGTTTCTACCAGAACATAGTCACATTAAAAAAAAAAAAAAATAGCAAAATGACTAAACACATTTTGACCAATAGTTTCAAACTGTCATAATTTAGTTTCTTTATAGGGGCAATGAATCTGAATTAGTTTTAGTAAACTAATTCACTTATATTTCAAAAACATAAATGAAAGTTCCTGTCAAAGTTGTTGTTATAATAAAAATTTCAGAGGTAATTACTACAGGTAGTCATTTAACAACCACAATGAGGACCATAAAATTGGTCGTTAAGCAGGGCGGCCATTAAGTGAGTAACCACATGACCATACCCAATTTTACAACCATTTTTACGATGGTCGTTAAGGGAATATCATGGTCATTAAGCGAATCACATGGTCCTTAAGCAAATCCAGCTTCCCCAATGGACGTTTTTTGCCAGAATTTGCTTAACGACCACGTGATTAACTTAATAACCATGTGTTTCATTTAACAACCACATGATTCACTTAATGACCATGGTGATTCGCTTAACAAAACCAGTAAAAAAGGTTGCAAATCACAATCACATGACCACAGGGGGTGGTGCGATGGTTTGTGATGGTCATGAGTGTGAGTACAGGTCATAATGCACTTTTTCTGAGGCCGGTGTAACTTTGAACTGTTGTTAAAGAAATGTTTGTTAAGCAAGGACTACCTGTAGTTTGTCAAAGGAAACAGGTGCTTTAGAAAATTATTTCCTTAAGTATACAATCAGTTAGTCATTCAAAAAAGTTATTAATACATGTCTGCACATTTTAGAGCTGCCTATTTATGCCAAATTACAAAGAAGCAAGGAAAACCAAAACCTCAAATGAAGAATCTTCTGCTTTACACTGCAATACCTGAAACAGGATTGCAGATCTGACATTACAATCTGTGAGTTCCAGAAGTCAGTTGTGTCTCATAAATAATTTGCAGGTTATATGAAAAAAAAATCACTCCATCATTACAGTAGACATTTGAAAAGTAGAAGCATGAATGACTTATGCTGCTGCTGTGCACTAACTGAATACAATGAGATTCATAAAAGCAAAGAATAGAATGATGATCTCTACAACTTCAAAATTAGTACTTTGCTGCTGCAGCATTCCACTGGCATAATCAATACTCACCCTGTTATAGCAGATGATGAATTCACCCAGCTGGTGAGCTAAGATGCGCCTACGGTCATAGAGAGCCAGGCGCCGACTCGGAAGGAGCATCTTCAAGGACTGCTGAAGATTGCTGGCTGCTCGCTTCAAAAAACGAACCACCAGCTCCTGCCATTAAGAAACAACATTGAAGATAGAATCCACATATCCAACTTCATTAAAAGTGTATCTAAGTTTGTTTAAGAGAAACTGTATTGTAAAGAAGAAACTGTGAACAAAAGGGTGGAATGTGTGAAGTTCAAGTGTTCTAACACTGCCTATTTTTATGCTTTGAATGTGACTTGGAAGAACTGCTTCAGAACTTGTATGGCACCTCCCTTATGCTCATTCAAGTACCCTATCTTTTCTTCAGGCTTCCATGACAGTCTGAAAAAAGACACAGCTACTTTAATTTTCACATTAAGTTTCACAGCTGCTTTAATGAGTCAATTCATTAAACCAGCCCCTTTTCTTCAGGCTTGTGTGGAAACAATAGAGAGAAGATATGCTCACATGAGTTCTAAAACAATCTTCTAAATCATTTTTAAAGCGTATACAATTACTGTATATTTACTGTATAACAGTCTATTGCTGTTGGAACTCACCACAGATAAAAAGCACATATCTGAAAGGGTAGCAGATTTTGGCATATCATACTGATTAGGTACACTTTTGCCACTGTTTTTCATCATCTGCCACCACTTCTGGTCATACTATCCTACTTTAAGGAGTGCATTATTGTTAATATTATTTCTTCCTTCTTTGTCACCAGATAATGGAAGGGAAGAAACACCCTCTCTGGAAAGTGAATATTAAGCAAGCTGCCTGCTATGGGTGTTTTATTTCAAACACATCCTGTCTCCAGTTTGGATTTACTTTTGGCTAGATGCCCTACTAAACATGTAAATGAACTGTTTCATAGCCAAACCATTACATTTCACAAGTTACCTCTCATTAGCATTATATTAGATTGGTCTGAACTGTTATTTTAAACATTATTTTTCACAGCAGAGCAGACAAAGTAGCTCTTAGAGAGCCAGTTTCAATTTTCCACTTGGAAAGAGTGGGGGTAACATTTTCCACTGAGGCAAACTGATTATTCCTTATTTCTGACATAAGGTTTTTAATCTATGAGCTAGATTGGCTCAATATGCACTGCCTGTTTTCGCAAAGTCTCCATTTGGGCTAAGACAAAGACTAGAAATGTGGAGCAATCTCATTAAGTGCCATAAATCCAGTGCTTTATATAAAATACACAAAGTGATTCTGTGATTGGAGGAAATAGCAAACAACTCAAAGATGTGCTTAGTAGCCAAGTTATATACATAGTTTAGGGAGAGGCAATGGGGAGCTAAATGCAAAAATATAGCAATCTAAGCTGGCTACCACTTTAGCCATGCTCTATTCACCTAAACCTATCTCTGTCAGACTCCAAACACACTTCTACTTGTTTTGCACATCAATAAACTACACTGGTTCAAAGAGAGGCATTCAAATTGTTTTGCTCACAGAGGTAAGATGTGTTAACATTGGAAATGCTTAAGCGTTCAGCATTTTTGCTCAGCCCTAGCTGAGAGGAATCAGCTTCATACTGACTATGATTCAGGAATGCTGAGTAGGAACAGCTGGGTCCCTTCCTGAAAAGAACTGGGCAAGCACACCATTTCTTACCATCTGCTCATCTTCCTTGGCAGCCCAGACTGGATTGTGGACCTCATCACCAGCCTCTTTCATCAGGCGCAGCTGGACACGCTGCAGGTAAGCAGAGAAAGCTCTGCGAGCCTGAACTTTGCTGCGGAAGAAGAGAGGTAAAAGCAGCCATCAAAATACAGCTTTTAGTCTCCGAGATCCTTTGCTAGCCATTATTAGCTGCTAAGAAGGAGATAAATATTTTAGAATCTGGATCAGCAAAGACAGTTTCATTTGAATCAAACTGGAGAAGTCTGATTAATCCAGTAAAACTGGAGAACTGTATCACAGGGCTGCAAATGAAGAGGATCGAATTTCCAAATTTCCAAACTGAAATTCCATACTGCCAAAACTTCCATGTCTCCAAAATAAATATGGAAGATGAGCTCAAGTCTAAGACAGAGAACTCTTCTCTCGAAAACAACCTCTGAGTGCAAAGTTAACATTTGCACTTTCTCAGCATATTCATGCAAATCCAGACGTTTGCTGCATATTAATTACTCTCTGAACACTGTGGGAACTATGGATGTTATTCAAACTAAGTGGAGAGGATAAGCTTTTAATACAATTTTCACTGCTCCGCAATGAATGTCAGCCAAGAGCACGATTATTTTAAATTTTCCCATATTTTTCTTTTGTTATTCTCTATATTTCATTCCACAAATTAAGCTTACACTGCCTCAAAAAAATGAAGCAGTAAAAGTTAGATTAATGGCCAAAACCTTTAATGCCTCAGCCACACAGACTTGTCAATCTACTTCTGTAGAAATGTTGGCAGTGATTGTCCTCAATCTGTCAATGGTCTACAAGTAATACTCCTCAGCCCCATCTTGTCTTATCTGATGGGACCCAGGATGAGAGCTTTTTCTGCCACAGCGCCCGCCCTTGGAAAATCATAACCCTGGAGATTAGATTGGCCCTGACCCTGCTGGCCTTCCAAAAGGGTCTAAAGACATGGCTCTGTCAATGTGCCTGGGGATCCAGTTATGGCTCCAAGCCTGCTGGATCATTATATTGATTAACACATGACTTGCACTTACCTGCTTATTATGCTTTCTGGATTTAATTTGGTTTTAATCTGGTTTTAAATGGGTTATTGTTTTTACTGTATTTTGTTTATTGATTTTGTTGCTTGGCTGTTTAATTATGTGAGCCACCCAGAGTCACAAATGTGTGATGGTCAGCTATACAAATTGAATGAATGAATGCATGCATGCATGCATGCTTAGCTTTTCTATATAGTCCTGGACATTCTGTGGGAACTAAAATTCTAACCAACTGCAATATCCATTCACATATTTTTACTACTGCAGAAAACAGAATGCCAAATTATAAGGTGAAAATTCTATAACCTACAGATCAAAATTAAGAGATTCCAACGTTGCCAAACCAGATGACAGGAAATGAGTTTCTGTACATAAAAGCTGGATCTATACTCAGTCATCCTTTATTTCCATTAAGGTTAATGTGAAAAGTTACTGATTATTAACTAAAATCCCTTCGATTTCCATGTGACCCAAGTGCAAATAATTTAAGTCTGGATCCAACTTGGAAGATAAATATATAAAAACACGTGGGGAGTTAAGATTTTCCAGGATCTCAAACATGAGGATATATTTTCCATATAATGTGTCAGCTGAAATATTTTTATTTTTCCATTTGAATGTAGCAGTCAAAACTTTTGAACAAGCTCAAGAAAGTTTGTTGAATTCTCTGGATACTCACTTATCTTAGAGATTAATACCAAAACAGCAAGCAAAAACTATATTTAAATTGTGATTTTTTTTTCAAATCGTGAGATGAAAGTGAAAGGTTATGACAGTAGCAGAGAATGATAGTATGAAATGCTCTCACACTAGCTTTGTATCCTAGAGAAAGAAAAATGTTTTCTAAATAAGATGCTGTGAGTAGAAAAACGGCTCTGGACAAACTTTCTCCATACACAATTTACTGGGCAGATTATGTTAATTTTTGTATCAGAGAAAATAGCAGCAAGAAAAGTGAAACATCTATAAACACAGAACATTTTAGAAGTATTAGTAGGCCAAACATCTAACTACTACAGCATTGTCTTTCTTACAAGTGACCAGATGCATCTGGGAAATTTAAGCAGTGCATGACAGTAACAAATCAAGACTGGCATTAGAAGCCAACAAAGGCAGGAAGCTGCCAATTGCCAGAACAATCCATCAGTACCATCAAGCAATGATTAGTTTTCAGGCTGAATGGCCATAGTCTAGTTTTCTACTGAGCCTATGTTTCACCAGCAGCTGTAGCTGGCATCTTGAGAAGCGGTGAACTGCTTTTAGTGTACCTCTTGGCAGATCGCAGGCAACTGAACAGAGACTAACTGGGGTCTTGTATTTGAACTTGGCAAGCTGATCTCTGATTGGTCTATGTCATGGGAGTCCAAGAAAGGTAGTCCCTGACTGGTCCCTCATCTCTGACTGATCCATTTTGGAGAAATTCCAACAGGGCCTGCTCTTGATTAGCCTGTCCTTGAGCCAGGCTACTGATTGGTTCTTTGTGTAGGTAGATTTCTGACTGGTCTAGGAAACTAGACCATGACCATTCAGCCTGAAAGCTCATCATTGTGAAAGCCTACATCACTACCAATATCATCTTTACCATGTCCACCACTGCCAGCATTAGGATAATTATTAGCCTCCAGCTCCTTCAACTGGCTTGCTTATCTGGGAGTGGTAGCACCATTTGACCCCCAGAGTCACAACCAATCTTTACCAGAAGTCAAGGGAATGCTGTGATCCTAATACAACCAGGTTCCAAATACTTTTTGGACCTCAGGTATTGCACTGTAAGAATTTTTTTTTTTTAAGTAGCTGCATGACAACAGGAACTGAGCATCTGTTCAACAGCCTTCCAGACATTTACTATCACTGTTGCAACAGCTTGCCTAGTGAGGAGGAATCTGGCAACATCTGCATGAATTCAGCAGCCAAGTAAGTCCCCTGCCAAAAGAGTAAGGCAGAGGTTGTTCAAGTGTCTCCACCAAAGGTGCCAGAAGATTGGGTGTTAGATTAGTAGTAAAGGATCTACTGGTCACAGCATCTCGACACCACTTTCAAGCCTGGAGTTGGCTCTGAACAATCACTATCAAAATTGTTTACAACATACCTGTTCTTTGTTTCTAAACCTTAAAGTTCCCTTAAGTCAGAGGGAATGTTTGGGGAAACTGAGGACTTCAAGATGGTGGGAAATTATGCTATTAATTTTCAGTAACAGTAGCTGGAGGGAGTTCTGAGGACAGAAAAACTGGATTTCAGAAGCCGCAGATTACCTTTTCCTGCTTTTTAAAATATTTTTTTAATTGCTTTTTAATTAATAACAAAAAAGATAAAGAAAAACACAAAAATAATAATACACTATCAAGAAGAAAACATTAAAAAGTGCTATTATGAAAAAGTGGCAAAAATACAAAATAAAAAACTTAGCATAGTATATCATTATAACAGTAAATAGTTACAAGTCTATATATATATATATAGGTAAATATATATATATTTATCTAATGCAAATAATATTCAGATGCATATATATCTTTCCAATACATTTACCTTTTCCTGTTTTAAGTTATAGTTAATAGCTTCAAAGTGGAAAATCGCTGACAAAAATATTAGTAGCCATCCATGCACCATGGATCTACGGTGCCATCTTCTATTCTATTCCATATTTAGACATTCTGGATGTTCTACCACAGCTCAGTTATTTTCTAGCCATCTACCACATACCCCAGTGAAACCAGCAGTATGATACAGGCAGACAAGGAATCCCAGATTTCAAGTCTCTCCTTAGCTTTTATAGCCAAATCAATCCCATGGACTCTCTTACCTTAGATTCCTGTTCTCTCGCAGAATCTGTAGCAAATTAAATGGAAGATCAGCATTCTTTGGCACTGGTTCCACTTTGTCTTGAAGAGGCACCCCTTCATTTATAGGCTTCTCTTCCGGGTCCTTTGGTAACTTCCCTTGGTGGGGAGGCTTCACTATCTCTGTCAACTGTGGCTTAAATTTCACCTGCATATTTCTGAGAGAGTCAGCTGTTTCACTCTGGCATATCTCTAGTTCTTCATCTTCTATTTCCTCCTCTTCTTCACATTCTGTTTCTGACTTGAGGATAAAATCGGCTGATTGTGATGTCCCTGTCAGAGTCAATATATTTCCAATTCTCAACATTTTAGCAAACTGAATAAAAAAAGATCAGGCTCTGATGCACACCACTCAGTACAGTGGTACCTCTACTTACGAACTTAATCCGTTCCGTGACTCTGATCGCAAGTCA